CTTGTCAACTGCAGAGCATAGACAAACAACCATTCACACATTCATGGACAATTCAGTCTTCAATTAAGCTAACATCGGTCTGCCAAAAGAAGAAAATCTACACATACACGCCCAAAGCAAACTTACATCCTCCAAACAGTAGCCAAGTTTTGAACAAAACATATTGATTATGAGGCAGTTGGCAGATGTGCTTTCTTGACTTTCAGATTTTTTTTGTGTTTTTTGTAGCAATTTCAAATTTTGCCTAAATGAGCAGTGCCTTATAAATAAAATGTATTATTATTATTATTATTATTATTATTATGACCACCACCACCATTAATCCACCATGGTGACTAGGGCATCTCCTTATGGAGAAATACATTATAATTTGAAGCACCTCATTCAATATTCAAGCAACTACCCACCTTGAAAGTCGAACACTGTCAAGCATTTGAAATAATTTCAAGCACACGTAGGAAGTGAATTTTGGCTTTAGCTTGTAAATTATTATTATTATTATTATGACCACCACCACCATTAATCCACCATGGTGACTAGGGCATCTCCTTATGGAGAAATACATTATAATTTGAAGCACCTCATTCAATATTCAAGCAACTACCCACCTTGAAAGTCGAACACTGTCAAGCATTTGAAATAATTTCAAGCACACGTAGGAAGTGAATTTTGGCTTTAGCTTGTAAATGTTTAACGTATCTCGAAATACAGGATCTCGAAATACACTTTCCAATTCACCCGCTTTCTCTGGCTATGTATACGACAGTTTCAAGCAGTAACAATGTAAAGTTATGCCTTTATTAAATGAGTATAAGCTATATCGATGTATGTAGAAAGCGTGTTTATTATTCACGGGGGAAAGAACAAGTGTCACAGCTGCGAATTTATTTTAATACAGTATTCGAATTCAAGATTGAAGGCTAATAAGGACACCTTTGCTAGCCTAGTCCGTGTTACAATGAAAATGTAAACTTTATAAATCTCGGTATGATTCGAATATCTGCACCACTAACATTTTACTGTGCCACAAAATGAAAAGTGTTTCAAAGTTTACAACTGCCTTTCTTGCTTTGTTTTAGTCAACAGGGCATGGAAGTTATTAAACAACCACAAAGTTCGCGAACCTTGCCGTTATGACCATGTCAACTTGTTACCTGCACATCAACACGGTTCACGTGTTTGCTCCGGTGTGTAAATAACACGCGACAAGGGTGTGAGGATATTTAAGAGTTTGCACTAACATTTAGGGTGGACAGTATTTTAGTTACCTTTGTGTAGCAACTTTTAAAACGCTTTCAAAATATTGCTAACTAGCTGTTATGCTAACAATCACAGCATGAAAATAGACAGATTAAACCAAAGTAATTGCCATTTAAAGAACAATGTGCACGCCGCACGCATGTGCATATGGATATCAACAGGCAAGTGACATTATTTGATAGCTGTTGACCTTTGTTGGTGAATCTGACTGGTCCGTGGATGCCATCTTCCTGTTAGCATCGAAGGCTGCTCGATGTTTGATTGCTTCTGCCTGAGCTCAAAGGGCACTCGCTGACCAAAACGGAATTTTGCATTAAATATTAAGTGACCAGATTAAAAAACAAACAAACAAAATAGTATATTTTATGTATGTGAAACAAAACGTAATTTTTTTAAAAGTGTTCCGTGATAAGCGTACGCAAAAGAACTACAGATCCCAGAGTCCTTAGCGTCAACGCCGTTCCCGTATTCTAAACTGCCAACTACTGAGAGCTGTCTTCTGCTGTCCTATTAATCATAATTGTTGGACGTTTCTGCGTATAATGGCGGATCGAAAGCCGTGTAAGGTGTGCAACTTTACACGCCAGAAGTCATATGGCGTGGTTGTTCCATCGCTCGAGGAACTTAAGGTAAAAGGTGAGATGATACATATTTTGAACACTACGTTGTTGGGGCTTAGCTTGATTAAAATCAATGGTGTAGTGCCTGTGCACTAATTCCAAGGGTTAGGGTAAAATCGAATCTAATTTTTAAACTACCTAATATGAACGAGGCTGTGATCGGCATTTATCTTTTCGATTTAAAACAGAAAGGCAATGAGTCGTGTATTAAGGTGTTACAAAGCAGTCGTCTCACCCATTGCTATCGTGGCCAGTGGAACTTATCTCACATGATCAAGAGCTGGCTTTTCGTCTAGCAACATTTCTAACGTGTCGAAACTTGCATGAGGTGAACGCAAAACGAGTCAAGAAGATACCTCCCTCCTGTCTTTCCATTCCTAAAATGCTCGTCAGCGCCAGGCGTTGGTGTGTGTGTGTGTGTGTGTGTGGCCTGAGCTCAAAGGGCACTCGCTGACCAAAACGGAATATTTGCATTAAATATTAAGTGACCAGATTAAAAAACAAACAAACAAAATAGTATATTTTCTGTATGTGAAACAAAACATGTAATTTTTAAAAAAGTGTTCCGTGATAAACGTACGCAAAAAAACTACAGATCCCAGAGTCCTTAGCGTCAACGCCGTTCCCGTATTCGAAACTGCCAACTACTGAGAGCTGTCTTCTGCTGTCCTATTAATCATAATAGTTGGACGTTTCTGCGTATAATGGCGGATCGAAAGCCGTGTAAGGTGTGCAACTTTACACGCCAGAAGTCATATGGCGTGGTTGTTCCATCGCTCGAGGAACTTAAGGTAAAAGGTGAGATGATACATATTTTAAACACTACGTTGTTGGGGCTTAGCTAGATTAAAATCAGTGGTGTAGTGCCTGTGCACTAATTCCAAGGGTTAAGGTAAAATCGAATCTAATTTTTAAACTACCGAATATGAACGAGGCTGTGATCGGCATTTATCTTCTATCTTATCGATTTAAAACAGAAAGGCAATGAGTGGTGTATTAAGGTGTTACAAAGCAGTCGTCTCACCCATTGCTATCGTGGCCAGTGGAACTTATCTCACATGATCAAGAGCTGGCTTTTCGTCTAGCAACATTTCTAACGTGTCGAAACTTGCACGAGGTGAACGCGAAACGAGTCAAGAAGATACCTCCCTCCTGTCGTTCCATTCCTAAAATGCTCGTCAGCACCAGGCGTTGGTGTGTGTGGGTGGGTGTGTGGAACTTAAGGTAAAAGGTGAGATGATACATATTTTAAACACTACGTTGTTGGGGCTTAGCTAGATTAAAATCAGTGGTGTAGTGCCTGTGCACTAATTCCAAGGGTTAAGGTAAAATCGAATCTAATTTTTAAACTACCGAATATGAACGAGGCTGTGATCGGCATTTATCTTCTATCTTATCGATTTAAAACAGAAAGGCAATGAGTCGTGTATTAAGGTGTTACAAAGCAGTCGTCTCACCCATTGCTATCGTGGCCAGTGGAACTTATCTCACATGATCAAGAGCTGGCTTTTCGTCTAGCAACATTTCTAACGTGTCGAAACTTGCACGAGGTGAACGCGAAACGAGTCAAGAAGATACCTCCCTCCTGTCGTTCCATTCCTAAAATGCTCGTCAGCACCAGGCGTTGGTGTGTGTGGGTGGGTGTGTGCGCGCGTGTTCAAATGTTCCAAATATTTATTTTTATTTTTTTTGCATTATATTTCAAACTAAAGGTCTTTTGCAACATCTGTGTGCAATCTAAAAAAATGCTTGTCATTGCACAGTGAAATCTTCATGAAGTCATATTCGTCTTTTTTTTCTTTTTGTTTAATTTCATTTTTATCATGTTTTCTTTTATACATAATCAGTGCATTCAATCAAGTGGGCTGTATAGTAAAATGAATTAGCAATTTCACAATACATTATTCCACTATATTTTGGAAACACACATAGGAATTTTAAATGGGAGAATTATTCTCATGTTTTTTTTTCTTTGTTTGCTAATAACACCAACGTTTCAGTGTCTAATTAGCATGTCCACGCTGAGAGCAGCATTATTGAGCTGCATTGAGCATTGCTCCTGTAACGTAATCAAACAACGATCATTTCAGGAAGTGAGTTTCTTGGCTTCACACCACATGACCCAGTGACAGTGGTCTTAGAAGATGATGGGACAATAGTTGAGGACGAGGCCTACTTTTGGTGTTTGCCCTTAAACACAAAGTTCATGCTGCTGCATGAAAAGGAAACATGGTCGCCGCTTCGCAGAGGTGAGCATATTTGATTTGGTCTAAAAAATATACTTTTTCCTTTTTTTTTTGTTAGATGTATATGTCTTTTTTTTAATTATTTGAGTAATGTCCTGTGCACCTCTTTATGCCTCGCATCGTAGTTGATGGTGGCACAGCGTGGATGGCGAGAGATTCTGTGATGCTAGAGAGCGACACTGTGGATGCAGCCCATGGTAGTGCATCATGGTTGGACTTGGCCTTGCAGCTGAAACGGGACCTGGCCAGCATCATCCTCATGTGTGAGGAAGACTTAGAGGTGCCAGATCTAGTTATGTTTCACAATACATTATTCTACTCAATTTTGGAAACACACGTAGGAATTTTAAATGGGAGAATTATTCTCATGTTTTTTTTTTCTTTGTTTGCTAATAACACAAACGTTTCGGTGTCTAATTAGCATGTCCTCGCTGAGAGCAGCATGATTGAGCTGCGTTGAGCATTGCTCCTGTAACATAATCAAACTCCGATCATTTCAGGAAGTGAGTTTCTTGGCTTCACACCACATGACCCAGTGACAGTGGTCTTAGAAGACGATGGGACAATAGTTGAGGACGAAGCCTACTTTTGGTGTTTGCCCTTAAACACAAAGTTCATGCTGCTGCATGAAAAGGAAACATGGTCGCCGCTTCGCAGAGGTGAGCATATTTGATTTGGTCTAAAAAATATACTTTTTCCTTTTTTTTTTGTTAGATGTATATGTCTTTTTTTTAATTATTTGAGTAATGTCCTGTGCACCTCTTTATGCCTCGCATCGTAGTTGATGGTGGCACAGCGTGGATGGCGAGAGATTCTGTGATGCTAGAGAGCGACACTGTGGATGCAGCCCATGGTAGTGCATCATGGTTGGACTTGGCCTTGCAGCTGAAACGGGACCTGGCCAGCATCATCCTCATGTGTGAGGAAGACTTAGAGGTGCCAGATCTAGTTATGTTTGTCACTCTATCTATCTATCTATCTATCTATCTATCTATCTATCTATCTATCTATCTATCTATCTATCTATCTATCTATCTATCTATCTATCTATCTATCTATCTATCTATCTATCTATCTATCTATCTATCTATCTATCTATCTATCTATCTATCTATCTATCTATCTATCTATCTATCTATCTATCTATCTATCTATCTATCTATCTATCTATCTATCTATCTATCTATCTGTGTGTTTGTGTGTCTGTGTGTGTTTGTGTGTGTGGCAAGACAGTTAGAGAGATACTGATATATACGTGTGTGTGTGTGTGTGTGTGTGTGTGTGTGTGTGTGTGTGTGTGTGTGTGTGTGTGTGTGCGTGTGTGTGTGTGTGTGTGTTTATATATACTGTATATTTGTGTGCATGTGTGTGTCTATATTTTTTTTCATCAAAGAGGAAGTAAATTTTTCTCTCTGAGGTATCTGTAAAAGCCAATCTCAACACTGCCCTCCATTATTTGTCATCTAAATGAATACTTTATGTAAAATCAGAGTCATATGTTGTTCCAGTGCTTAGTGGGCGTCCCCTGCCCTGAGCTAGCTTCTGCTCTCGGCTTCCAAGAAAAGAAGACAGAGAATCTTCAGGAAACACTGCAGAGGGTTTTGGACCGTCGGGAGGAAGAGAGGCAATCGAAGGAGTTGCTCCAACTCTTCCTCAAAGCAGCAGAGAAAGAAGACGGACAGCCACAGGAGGAGGCTTGGCGGCAGAGCGAGGGAGGTACGTTGAAAGTAGCCCCTTTTTAAAATTACTTTCCCTTAAAACTCACAACCGGACAGCATGTGTTTAGTGGTTAACCCAACTGCCTTACAGTCTTGGTGCAAATCAGCTTAGGCCTTCCAAATGTGGAGTTTGCATGTTTTCCCCATACTTGCGTGGGTTTTCCCCCGGATATTCCAGTTTCCTCCCACATTCCAAATACATTCGCGAAAGGTCAATTGATCACTCTATGTTGTTCCTGGGTGTGATTGTGAGCGTGAATGGCTGTTCGTCTTTAAGTGCTCTGTAATTGGCTGGCAACCATGGTTGAAATAGCTCTGTTTATTTTCCCATTCGTCGATAGTTTTGTCAGTGCCCTGCAATAGACTGACATTGATTCTATTTTGTTATTACTGTATCATCATAGTTTACTGCTTTTATTTTAGTGAAGTCATACTGATGCCCGCTAGGTGGAACTATTGTTCCAGTTGAATAGTCTGATCCCCTTGAAGGATAGGGAGTTCAAGAACCTCCCAGAGCGACTAATAATTCTCTTTGTGTTGCAATTACTGGAGGTGCCGATGTTCCTGATGGTATGGAGGTGGATCAAGCATGTGGATTCACTTCCAGGACTTTGATGGTCCTGAAAGGCAAAACAAGCCCAGAGACCAGGCTGTCCACTGAAGATCTCCAGGTAACACACAGTCTTCCCGTTTCACATTTCTTTGCACTTCCTTGAGCAATTACAAGCTTTATGTATTCCCATAGCACAACAATGTGTGTGTGGCTATAATGTAACTTCTCATTATTCTGTCTTTGTCTTCTGACGCAAGGCACTCATTGTTTAGAATTAAAGATGCATATTCTGTCCATATGCAGTGCCATTTTAAGTAACCTAATCCACTTCGTTCCTCGTTTAAAATGTCCGTGATTCTAAACTTATGCAAGAGCGTTTTGAATACAATGCAGTTGTGTCACTAAACACAACTTGACTGAACTTTTTCTCTCAACACGGGTGTGTGATTATAATGGGCCATTGCGTTGTGTACAAAATGCCTTGATTATTTACACTAAATGTGCAATTCAGTCACGTCAAATGTTGTGCAACCTGGTTGAGGTTGAACACACACTTGTACTGGAATGGAAATGGAAAGAATCATTTAGACAGTCAAATTGTTACCATCATAAAATATGTTCTTGCGTCCATTTTTGTTTTACCGTTGTGAGCACTCAAGCCTTTCCCTTCCAATTCTCAAAAACAGATGTGATACTGCGAGGTACAATTTGTAGTGGGTGCTCAGCTGTGGTTCCAGGCAGGCTGCAGTAAAACTTTATGGGTATCCTACATCACTTCTCGTCGCTCATTGGGTGTTGGAGGTTCATCAGTGCTGCGTCCTAAATGAGTTTTCACAAGTTTAGCATTGGCAAAAGAAAAAAAAGTCCTCATTCCCTTCCTTTGCTGGGTTTTCTTAGCATCTCTCTCCCAGCGCAGCTTCAAACTCGTTACTTCAGAGCATTTTGATGTAAATCCAACTGTAGCAAACCAAGAAGGTCCAGTGCAGCCAATAAAGGAGCTTTTGTTTCTTGAAAAGGCAAAACATGCACCGAATGCGTCCTTTCGTGGTGTGTTGGCCAATTTACAAATCGTACAACTTCAGGCACGTCCAATTTGAGAGGTTGCTTTGCGTTGTTGCTGAGGACTTTCCATTAAAACGAGACGCTTTCTGTGTTAAGATGGTGGTGGCCAAAGGGGCCGAAGCTATGCAGCAGGTGCTCGGCTGGGACAAAGTCAGGACATCGACGCTGCTTCAAGACTGCGAGTCGGAGCTCAAACGACGGCTTCAGCAGATCCAGGCCGTGCAGTCTATGAGGGGCAACATGGCGCAGAGGGACAGCAGCCTGCCGCCTAATGACAAGAACGACGAGGAGAGCAAAGCCACACTGCCTCGAAGAGGAAAATAGTCTGTTACCTTACCAGAGCAGAGACTCCAAAGAGCTTACGCCGACCGCTTCAGGGCCAGCAGAATGAATTCGCGCTGGGTTGCCGATACTATTTTTACCGCTGGATTTTGTATAAATGTCAACAAGGTTGGTGTTTGTAGCATTTGGTACAACTTTCAAACCACTTCAATGCTTTTGCCTCAAGCAGAAGCTGAGGGCTTTGCACAAGTCGTGTTTTTTTTTTTTTTTTTAATCAAACGTCTGATGTTTAAATCACAGATATTCCTTATTTGGATGATAAACGAGCTGCTGTGAAACAAACCTCACGTGCATTTGTTTGAAGCTTAACATCCAACTGTCGTCATCTGATATGAGCGGGTACATTTTGAATCGCTGCGGATCCACTTTATGACATGGATACAGTTGCCTTGTTGGGTTTTAATGTGGAAAAAAAAGGAGCTCAGAGACTCAGACGGAGATGTAATGTTCCATTTTTCTTGATTTCTTGATAGAAGCCAGTAATCCTTTAAGTATCAAGAGTCTTTGTTGTGATATTCTGGTAACTGGCCCTTTATTACCCCACTCGTCCGTAGAGAGTTCCATTCCTATCATCCGTTTTCTGTCCTCATTAAAGTCATGAGTGAGCTGGGGCTCTATTCCATTAAGATTTGGTGTACAGCGTGGACTGTTCACCTGCCAGTCAGGGCACGTAGACAAGCTCTGACACCCCCCCGTTCACACCGATGGGCTTTTTAGTGTCTTCACCTAACATTCAGAATTTTGTGATGTGGGAGGAAAACAGAGTGCCAAGAGAAAACCCATTCAAGCACCAGAATAACATTTGCACGCAGAAGGGCCTGAGCCAAGAGTCCAACTCCGAACTTAGACTGTGAGGCAAACATTTGCAATTTTGTGGCAATAGAGACAGATCATTTGTAACTTTTCTTGTCAGTTTTCTGTGCAAAGTAGTATGCCTGATCGATTGAGTGATTAGAAATGTGGCACGAGATCCGTCGGTGGGCAAAATCAATTCCAAGATATACAGTGTGCAAGTCGTGACAATATATTGAGATGGCGTTGTAGCGCACACACAGATTAATTAATCATTTTCCTAATAAAGAGTTAGACAAGATAAGATTGTTCTTTATTCCATATATGCAAGCTTCATTGCACGCGCCCAGCCGCCAATCGTGGATAATAAAGATGCCGCTTCATCTTTGACTTATGTCAAGCCAGCGTGAGGCTGCAGCTCTGTCCCCTGGTTATGAAACGCGGGTATCGGTTTGGTAGACATGTGATGCCGGTCCATGTGAGTCATGTAGGACATGATCTTCTCTACAGTGAACACACATGACAGTGCATTTGATTTTTCACAAGGGCGCGCCTTACTTACACACACCGAGGTCACTATGAGCTGCTTTAGAGACGTGTGACGTTCGCAGTACGGTCCGTGAACATTGAGACTCTCACTTGACTTCCCCTCAAATGCACACTGCGAGAATTGCTACTGTTCACTTTTGTATTTGGTATGTTACTCCCAATAAGGAAAACAATCAAAACGTTCGACCGAATTTGGATGGAAAAATATGCTAAGAAGTCAAATAAAACGTAACAGTTCAAGGCATCGTGGGTGACGTGACAGGAGACCGCTGAAGCGTACCAGTGATTGTGAGGAAAAGTGTCAAGATTTAGCTGTTGCCACTGAACGGACATATAACTCGTTGCAAAAATTGGAAAGATGTGAACGAATACCTGTCATAAATAGAATTGATTGCCGATAAATATCACTAGAGGGGTGGCACGGTGGACAACTGGTTAGCACGTCGGCCTCACAGTGCAGAGGTGCAAGGTCCGGCCTTCCTGTGCGGAGTTTACATGTTCTCCCCGTGGCCGTGTGGGTTTTCTCCGGGTACTTCGGTGTCCTCCCATATTCCCCAAACATGCATGGCAGGTTGACTGGGCACTCCAAATTGTCCCAAGGTGCGATTGTGAGCACGAATGGTTGTTTGTCTTTGTTTGCTATGCGATTGGCTGGCAACCGGTTCAGTGTGTCTACTGCCCGAAGACGTGACCCTTGTGAGGATGAATCAGATCAGAAAATGGATGGATGGATGAAAATATCACGAGGCCTTCATTCCATAAGTAGCTGTTAAACACCACAAGGTGAAAGTATAGCTCTGCAAATACTTGTTCCCTTTTTCAATATGTCATATTCATCTTAAAACACTTTTTTTATGATGCTGCCCCTTCACTTTTCAGAATTATTTTACTACAATTCACTTTTGATTATTTTATATGAGGAGAATCTTTTATCAATTAGAATGTCTTGAAAGTCAACCTGCAGTGTGTTTGTCTGGAATTAAAAAAAAAAAAAATACTGTCGAGGCCAGTCAGAAAAATGAAAAAGAACAAGTCATTTTTAATCAGTGGAACCCTGCCTGTATTTTGTCAATACATTCACGCATATGATGCAGACGAGAAGCAAGTTGTCAGCATGCTACCACTCCACATCTTAATGGGTGTCATGGTGGGCGTAATTCCTGTGGAATTAGATTCGACTGGGCTGCTGCGGGAGGAGCCCATTGTGTCGGGATTCGACTTTTCTATCATACTGAATTCAGTGTTGCCTGAAGGTGCAAAAGTGTTGTTCGCATTGTGGCCAACCATGGCAGAGGACTTTAAAGATCGTTTTTGTTGTTCTTGTTTGTTGTGAAAGCAATCATTTTATCATGTGGGCCCACTGGAGGTTCTAAATAGTTCCTGGGGTGTTGAAGGGGTGGCAGGAGGTTCAGTTGCGAGAGCAGAGGTTACAACCCCCTCACACACTCACACAATTGCACACATCCACATTGCCCACTTTTTAAACTTCTGATTTTTAATTTGAGATTGATAAAAGGCAAATTCTTGCATGTTTTTTTGACGCTAGGGTGAGTGATCCTGATCAAAAACGTTTCTCTTGTCTTGAAATATTTGTCCCTGCCTCCATTGCTTTGTCTTGTTAGAGCTTCTTTAACCATCGCATCAAATGTCATTATGATTTTTTTTTAAAGTACAGTAACAATACCGTATATTCTAATTAACGAAATAATAAATGTTTTATTGTAACGTGTTGCCATGGATTGCAGGGTTTGTGGTTATTTTGAGTATCGTATTTTCCGCACTGTAAGGCGCACTATAAGGCTTCAATGAATGCCCTATTTTAAAACGGTTTTCATATACAGGATGCACCGCATTATAAGGCGCATAGAAAAGAAGCGACAATAGTGGCTGCGGTTGCGTTATGCACCCACAAGGTGGAGCAACGCTAAAGGGAATACAATACAATACACCTTTATGCATATCGAGCTTTCACAACCGCTGCAGCTGCAACAAAGTGCTTTACAGAACATTTAAAATACTACGTCCAAGAAATAAGAATATCGATCCATATATAAGGTGCATCGAATTATAAGGCACACCGTTGGCTTTTTAGAAAATAGAATGCTTTTAGGTGCGCCTTATAGTGCGGAAAATACGGTAATTGTATTGAGGTCTTCTCAGCCAAAATGACTCATAACAGTTACTATGCCGATTTGTCATCATGTCAGCCTAATTCTACGTGACTGTAGTCATGAAAAGAACTGAGTAAATCAACACAAGTGTGCTTCTTTGGCTTCTCACCACTCTAATGTGTGCCCCTTGGCGGAGATGTATAAAATGCCAGCGAGCAAGTTCAAAAGTGCCAATTTAGAAGCAATTGCATGGTCGTGGAGCACCTTACAATGACTGTTTTGACAGAGAAGTACAGATGGAATTAGGTAGGAAGAAACTGCATATGTATGAAGGTTAAAGGAGTAGCTTTGACAGATCCTTGGGTCCTCGACAATTTTTTTTTTCACTGAACTGATTACTCATTCAATACATCTGTATTTAGCAAAAGCGCTATTTGATCATCTCATTCGCACTGAGGAATTACTATTAGTAATAATATTACTAATAGTACTGTTTATCAAAAAAGCCTGTCCAATCACGGAACCTCATGAGACATTTTATTCTAACCATTTCAGGGACAGCGGTTACTACAGTGGACGGCTTGTCAATTTATGAGATTACAGGGTGCATGAAAGGGTTAAATGTGATCTCAGAATTGCATTCTTCATTCCCATATAATCAGGGAAATACTATTCAACAAAAATGTCACTGTACCAAAAATGGTTGTGTCTAAATGGCAATAATAATAAGACGTTTAGTGAAGGCTTTGCTGTTTTTTTATTCGTCTACACACTTAAGTTTCGGTTTAAGTGAGGGTCGCAGACTTGATACTCGTGTACTTGATCATCCATCCTTTGTTTTTCCCACTCGAATCTGACCTGAATGCAACGTGTACTTGGTGACTTCCGCTTTGGATGCTCTCTGGCGTTGCCGATCCGCAGTACGGTCCATACTCTCGTCCGGCCGTCGAAATCTACCAAATAATAAGCAGTGAGGGTGATTTTGCCCAACAGTACATCACCTTAGCAGGGAGAAGCCAGCAACATACTGCCTACAAATGCATGAGGACGAATTCGTTGTTGGGTCACTGCTTACAAGTCTCATAACTGACCTTCAACATATCATATGGACAGGGGACGTCTGGGTGTCCTTCTATGTCAAAAGGTTCCATAAAGTCCAGGATTATTTCGTTGCCCTCGGGAAGAGCGATGGTGTGGTTGCAGAGACTCATGGGTGGATACGGGCTTGGGTAGCCTGGACTTGCCAGATGTCCTGACAGGTTGGTCGACATCAAGCTGGGGCAAGGCACTGTTGAGATACAACATACTGCCACGTTTGTTGCATTTGTGTTCACAATACTGCCATCCATCCGTTTTCTAATCCGCTTTATCCTCACAAGGGTCGCGGGTGTGCTGGAGCCTATCCCAGGTGTCTTAGGGCAGTAGGCGGGGGACACCCTGAACCGGTTGCCAGCCAATCGCAGGGCACACATAGACAAATAACCATCCAGGCTCACAATCACACCTAGGGACAATTTGGAGTGTTCTATTAGCCTGCCATGCATGTTTTTGGAATGTGGGAGTACCCGGGAAAAACCCACGCAGGCACGGGGAAAACATGCAAACTCCACACAGGAAGGCCAGAGCCGTAATCGAACCCTGCACCTCTGCACTATGAGGTTGACGCGCTAACCACTGGCCCACCGGACCGCTTGAGATATATACACACACACAAACACACACACACACACACACACACACACACACACACACACACACACACACACACACACACACACCAAATGCGACGACAATACATCCATAATGCCGCCGCCTTTCTTGATGTTTGTGTGTTTTGAAAAATGTGTGTATTCTGTTAGAAGTGCTATGTTTTTATGTCAAAGACACTTGACAACAAGAATCAAGAAATCCTGTTTATTTTGTATTTCTTGATTCTTGTTGTCAAGTATCTTTGAGTATTATGTAAATCGCTTTCTTAAGAAATGTATTATATTTCCACAGTTCCGGAAAACCAAATAAAACAATTTGTCTAAAGTACATTGGTGTTTTTATTGATTTGGTAACAACTGGATTAAAAATGAATTTGGCCATTCTGCTGTTAGGCTAATGATGTGCCTTTAGAAATCAGAGGAAAGCACAGTCTATTAGACAGAAAGAGAGTAGCTCAGCTGTTGTTTTCTGAATAAGTAGCCAACCATTTGGTTAAAATAAAAAAGACTACAGAACAACAGTGTTCCTACCTTTAAAATAGAAACATCTCATAATGTGGAAGCCTGGTTTCTTTGACTTACATTGCTTTGAAAAACAAAAAATAAGTTGTTGCTTTTTTAAATAAAAATACATATTTCAATTGGCTCCACTTGGCGCCATAATTGATGGCATTCATTAAGTTTGCATTAGTGACGCAGCTCGTGTGCAGATGTTGTCCCGGACAATACAAATGATTGTTGCAAAGCGGCTGTAATTGATATAATTAGTAAAATCTGTGGGCAGATAATCCTTTTTTTTTTGCCTATTCATTGCTTGATTTATTTTATCTCCCTTCTTTCTCCTCCAGCAAATAACGATCGAGTCAACGTACGTCAAATCAGTAATTGTGATGCATTACTTCGTGTCAGCACACTATTAGTGTTGCACACAGGTATCAATTTTTAATATCAATTTGAAGTTGCCTCTTACGGGAGAGTCAACATTAATTAGCCGTGTCTTTTGGCAGTTTGGCAGAGATCAAATGCTTCATGCAATTTGACTGTCAAATCTATCAGCACCTGCCCGCTGGAATGGAAATCGAAAGGTCTCACAAATAGACTGTGTAGTTATGATGAATTGGCAGAGTGCGAGGGGGCCGTCTTTTCTGGACTGGTAGTGGCAGTTTGTGATGTCTGGTAGGTTTTTTTATGAGTGTGTTAACTTGGTTGGTTTCCAGTCTCGATTTGTTGTGTTTGACTTAATTTTGAAGCGCTTCAGACACGGGTGCATCAGGAGTCTCTCTGTAGTCGCGGCGAGGAGCACCAGGCTCCACATTCTCTTAAACTTACTCCCTGACGGAGTGTGTGTGGTCCGTCGCTGTGATTTTAAAAACGAGCCAACCTGTTCATTAACACAATTAATGAATTTGTTTTATTATATATGACAGCATTACATTGACATGAATGACATCATCATTTTCAGCAGATTAGGAATCGCATGTCCATGAAGAGCAAGCGTAGGGAGAGAGAGTTGCGTTTTCAAGATGTCAATCTGTCAAGATGTCAATATTTCGAGGTTGTGTCAGCTAAAAACAAAAATATGAAGGTTTGTTGAGCACACTGTTCAGTTGACAATGTTATCTACATCGCTTTGTTAACATTACGTTAAAAAAAATGTGATTAGATGCAGTTACATCACTTTGTGTGACTGCAGGTCACAAAATGTAATTGTTTTATTTATTATCAATGTACATTATACATGTTGAGTTTTGATGTCACCACATTCGTAGTTAAATATGTCAAGTGAGACTGCCCGTATTTCAGAAATGATTAAAACATGTATTACTGTTGAGTAAAATCCTGAAAATACTTTTTTTTTTTAATTAAAATAATTATGTGAAGTCAAAAGGGTTGCCGTCTTTATTTTACTTTCAATAAAACCAAATGTTGTTCTTGAATGTCACTGTCAAAAAAAACCCACTTCAATTAAGTGGCAAAACACACAGAATCAGATCACATGAAAAAGTTCAGACTAATCAAAATAAGCAACGAATGTCAACAAATTACACTTATTTAATATACACTAATCTCTTTGAGTTCAGCAAAAACCTGACTCTCCACCGTACACCATCAATGATACTAGTACAGCAAAGTAAATGACTTAATTTTGTATGGTAGTTAATTGCAGGATCATTTTTTTAGCGGCTTTTGTCAAATTAATCTCTCTAGTGATGTCGTATAGAATGTGACTTCCTCTCGCTCACCTGTACATGATCTTTTGTTGAGATGGAGAAGATATCCTGGCCTGCATGTGCAGTAATAGCCACCAATGTAATTGTGGCAGAAATGGTCACACATTCTCTCCTCGTGCATATTGGACCGACACTCATTGATGTCTGCAAAAGACAATCAGAGGGTAAAGGTCATGCTCCATGCTCCAATTGATTGTATGAGATTGGTGTTAAAGGGAGATTGTGGGTCAAGGCTACAGCAAGTTGCCAGGTTGTCTTTTGGCATTTGTTTGTAATGTCCAATTCAAGGGAATATAAATTGGACTCAAAACTTAGCTGGATAACAAGACAGGTCGTCATGGAGGTCATTTCCGCTTTGAGCCTGAACTAATGAGCACAGGGGGTTTGTGCGCAAATTGTCATCATTGATTGTGATGTAAAGTCTGTTATACTGACATTACTGAGTTTAAATATCAAGGACGACAGTGTATTATTATGGCTTTGGAAAACGTTGATTTATTTTAACAATCTATATTAATGTGTTGGACCAGTCAGGATACTAATCCCAGTTGAGTGCAATCCTTTGACAAACTAATTTTAATGTAAAATCGCTGAATGTCACGGAAATATGTCAACACACAAGTGGAAACGGAAATAGCGACTGGTAAATATATGCAATTAATGTGTTTCAAAGGATCTACCTTAATAAATATCACGTGAGGAACAGAATTTGGACCCAGGCACGATTTCTTATCAAGAACACTAGCACACAGCTCACGAATCCAGTGGCTAACCGGCGGCTAGCTAAATAGCTAGCAGGTTACCGACATGGCTCCACTTATCTATCCATCCAATAATTTTATTCATCGGAAGGTGTCTCTGGGCTTTGTTTGGTCCCTCACCTAGGACCTGTTTAGCATGGGTGACCCTAGCGGGGACATAAAGCCCAGGACAATTTAGCCTTCGGATCATTGGGACACGCAAACCCTTCCACCATGGTAAAGTGACAACTCTTGGAGGGGAATTTTTGATTTGATGATATTAATTTTTGGACACGCAGTGGTCATGTTCATAGTGTGTTTTTTAATGTACTCTGCACTTTAAAAATTGAATATTTAAAAACAACTCCATACGTGTATTTATAGACTATAGACTGCTTTTGAGTACTGTATTATATTTTCTTTAATCTGCTTCATTTACATAGAACTGGGTTGTCATGTGAAATTATTTATTTTTTATGACATATTCTTTTCTGTAACGAATTAATAAAAGTGAAAATGTATGTGTTAAGACTCACAAGCTCAATTTTAAAGATAAGCTTTATTTTTTGAAGAGGCTGTTTTATAATTGGTAATTTGACCCGTGTCATAGGAAACAGCCAGATTCAGGCAAATCTGTGCCTTCAGCAAAAAAAATAAATAAAAGAAAAAAAAGTGTCACGATTTTACATCACCTTCCGAGGTGTAAAATGCTTGGAAGCCAGTGAATCGCTCCTCGTTAGAGTAGTCGCTCCTAAAGACCACTGACATGCGGTTGCCGGCTGACAGGATGACGGTGTTCCTCGGGGTGCTTTCATCATTCTTCTCTTCTTCTCCACAGAACCTCACGGTATCATTCCCCTCTGCCAAAACCTGTTTCGACAGGGTCAAGGCACTTCTAGCCAACAATCAAATTGAGTAAGAAGACCGTACCTGAATGTAGTCGTATTCGCACAGGTTTGAGGGTTCAACGCTGAAGTGGGTGAAGTAGAGTTTGACCCTGTGGCCCTGTGGGACGGTGATGTTCCACACCATGTATGTGTTATCAGGGTATGGCTGGGGGAAGTTGGGGGTGGTAAAGTTGCCGTATAAGCCTGTCATTTCCACACTCAGCGACACATGGAAGAGGCAGAATAGGACAAATACGCAGCCACCGCTATCACGATTATGTGTGAGTGCAGCAGTTTTTTGGAATATATGTTTAAAAAAAAAAAAAAATGACGCTCACCTGGTCATGTTGACATCGGTCTTCAAATATGTTCTCTCTCTTTGAATTGTGTCCTCCTCAGCTCAGTGCTCTGCGGGTAATTGAACCTGTGTGTCCTTCCTGGCTGACAGTTCGGTAAACAAAGTGCGACAGGCACATGATCCGCGTCATCATCACCCACCTCCCCTGGTCACAGATGTCAGAGGAGCTAGACATCAATAGTATGTTGAAACTTCTTCATCTTGCCGCTTTACAAGTCGGAAGGAGCACTGACAGCTCATCACCCCCCTTATAAAACATACAACACATTTATATAAAGAAATTATGCCAGAAGTTAAACGTCACTTTTTCCAATGACTCAGCACTAAATAGAATACCATGAGCCAGTTCACGTCCCTCCAATATGTTTTCCAAGGAAATGCCTCCTTACCAAATGCAAACCAAATCAACTGCCGTTTAATTTCGGGGTGCTCGACCACCCCGAAATTAAATCCTAGCACCCCTAAAATTTGAGAGATTACTTATTTACTCTATTTTTTTGTCTTGTCTTTTTTTTAAAAAAAAGCTAGGAATGTTGTACCGTATTTTCCGCACTATAAGGCGCACCTAAAAGCATTCAATTTCCTCAAAAGCCAACAGTGCACCTTATAAACCGATGTGCCTTATATATTGATCGATATTCTGATTTCTTGGACATAGTATTCTAAATGTTCAGCAGAGCGCTTTGTAACAGCTGCAGCGGCTGTGAAAGCTCTATATAAATAAAGCTTTATTGTATTGTATTGTATTGTATTCCCTTTAGCGTGGCTCCATCTTGTGGATGCATAACACAACTGCAGCCACTATTGAAGCTTCTATTCTATGCGCCTTATAATGTGGTGCATCCTATACATAAAAACAATTTTAAAATAGGCCATTTGTTTAAGGTACGCCTTATACTACGAAACGCCTTATAGTGCGGGAAATACGGTACATAACCTATTAAGAACAAAAATACAGCTCCGAGCGTGCCTCAAAAATGATTTGCAGCCCCCAATGCCTCTTCTCAGCTACGCTCTGAGTGTGTTATCTCCACAGAGCAATGTGCTGCCTTCGAGTGTCATTCAGTTGCAGTGTAAGTAAATGCCTCAGGAAATATGTAATGTATCTTAACGTCAATCACTCAATACCAACACACAATTATCATGACCATTCCACATTTCTGCTGCTTGTAGGTCGAATCAAAGCTTTGCGTTGATGTTTTTATGGATTTAGCTGGCATTTCTTTTCGAGCTAGAAAATGTTTTTGTTGGTCAGAGACACTAAAATAGGAATGAGAGAAGCTAGCTGCTGTGTCATGTGCATTTTTAGTAGACGCTAAATTTTAGGGTCTGGTATATACCAGAAAAAAAGCAGGTTAAAATTTGTTAAAATTGTTAAAATAATCATAATTGTTAAAATTTGTTGTCTACACCCAGAAAATTAGTAGGGTTACGATATGTTTGTTGACATATACAATTCATTCCTCTTCTCCTGTGGGTTTATCAATAATAACCTTTGTCATTTTTTACTCACAGACTTTGCCCAAAGGTGTACCGCACCTCTTTTATAAATGTGGGAATATCATTGTTTTAAGATCTACAACATTTTGTGAAATGTCACTACTTGATCCGACAACGGGCATCTTTTTCATTCATTCATTTTCCGAACCGCTTGATCCTCACTCGGGTCGCGGGGCGCTGGAGCCTATCCCAGCTGTCTTCGGGCAGTAGGCGGGGGACACCCTGAATCGGTTGCCAGCCAATCGCAGGGCACACAGAGACAAACAACCATCCACGCACACATCCACACCTAGGGACAATTTTGAGTGTTCAATCAGCCTGCCATGCACGTTTTTTGGAATGTGGGAGGAAACCGGAGCACCCGGAGTGACCCACGCAGGCCCGGGGAGAACATGCAAACTCCACACAGGGAGGCCGGAGCTGGAATTAAACCCGGTACCTCTGCACTGTGAAGTCGACGTGCTAACCACTGGACTACCGGGCCGCAACGGGCATCTTTTATTTGGAAATGACTTAAGAAGCTGAAGACTGGAAGAAGTTATGTCCAGCCTCATATTAATGCAAAATATGTCACAGCTTTTATTTTTCTTTTAACAATGTGTAGTTCATTATAATCCTCCAAACAAAAATCAACGATGACAACATCGGTTTGGAGGAGGCAACAAGATGTGTAAATTGTTATTCAGACGCGAAAAGACTGGTTGGACATTGATGCAAATCAGACAAGACTCACACAGATAATTAATTCACAGCCTGCTCTCATGGCTATTAAGTGGTGAGGCGGTTAAATAAAAGCCCCAGAACAATGACGACACTTTTTTTCCCCACTCCCATTGCTTTCAGTAGACAACCTGTTTTTGTTTGAACATCATCACATCATAAACTTTCCAAGTGAACCTGCAAACATGCTGGATGTTTTTTTTTTTTTTTGTGTTTGTTTGTTTGTGTGATTGATTTTATGTATTTATTTTTTTGTCTGTGTCTGTCCAATGTTTATGTAAGACTTGGTTCATGATAACTTATATAATTACAGAGTATGAAATGCAAATCTGTTTTGATTGAGTGCATATATTGACAATATTCCATTGGTGTAAGGCCCTTTCAAGTGGAGCACATTTTGTTTTTAACATTTTGTTCAGCGTTTAATGCCCAAGCGCACATTTTCTGGCCAGCGGCGAATTATTATAATTATCCACATAATCATCATTGTTAACTCCTTTTTGCAAATGACCTCTCTGATGGCACGCTTTCAAAACGATGCACTGGTGTTTTTTTTTTTTTTTTTTTTTCAACCATGACCGTGATGTGTGAGCTTGGGTTATGTTGAGTCGCAATGCAAGTCACGTTTTGATGGCAGATGTTCTCTCGTCTTTGTTTTTAGTTTTTTTTTTTTTTTGAATGCCATCCAGTTGCCACGCTGCCTTTGAAACTTCGGAATGTCACCCTTTGACTCCAAACAAATACTTTCTGGAAAAATATGGACTAAAAACATAACGTATTGATACTTTTTTTGGCTAATGGCTTATTAGTCATTTGGGTTCTCAAGTTCGTTTTCTCTGGTAGGGAAAATACATTTTGGTGTCTCAATAGATAGCATTTTGCCTATCACTCGGCACTTGTTGTAAATCATTGCTTCCAATTATTTGCAGCTTTTCTCAACACTTGATTGAAAAGTTGCAAAACACTGCTGGGTGACATAATGTCCTAATTCGCACATTTGTGACATCGAGGCATTCTGTTAGATGTGTCAGCCCTTTCACACACGCACGCTTGCTTGTGACACGCTCATCATCCATTCTTTCATACAGATACAGGTAATTTCACAAGTGAAGGAATTTACTTGAAGCCCGTCATGTGTACCTAATGAAGGGTCTGTTGACTTCATGTGTGCTTTTGATTCGCTAAAGTCAGAGCAGATTTTTTTCGAAAATGCATCTTCATGAAAGTAGTCTCGTGTCAAATAACGTCTTAAGGCAATCTTTCAAGCTGAGACCTTTGCCAAGTGGCTCTGAATGTCACTCGCGGACTTGACACTCAAATGCCACGATGATTAGACGTTGCAGGGCGGAGAACCCGTCCTTCATATTTTAATGCTTGAATGTTTTATTGACGTGATTGTAAAGATTATTCGCTGACAAGCTTGGGTGACCGGCGTTAGCCCCCATTTAAAAAAAAAAAGAAATACTGACACAATGGTGCTTCACGGGCTATCCTTTTCACACACCTGAACTGAATAATGCTTCAGGATTCTAAAAATGTAGGTTCAAAGTGAGATTACAAAAATCTTTAAAGAAAATCACACCGACAGAGTATAAACTGAAATCCCTGGTCACAAGGTGCCAGGAAAAACAACGCATGAAACCAAAAGCGCTTGCAAAGGCAAGGTTCAATAGAACACCGAGAATACACAAACGGAATATCCAAAAGTCCAAAAAAAAAAAAACAAAGAGCATTACTAGAAGAACAAAATTACTGACTAACAAGGACCTATGATCAATAAACGAGAGCGACCAATGACCATGAATGGTGTCGAGAGCTCCACAAAAATCACACTTGAAGCACAACAGCAAGCAAGGTCGGGAATCTGACAAGGCATTGGAGAAGACAGAGTCCTTAAATACAAAGCCAGGCTTGATGAGGAAACGAGGTGCAGGTTCACCCGCTGGAGGGAAACGCCCTTCACTCCAGCTGGAGTTGGAACACAATCAAGACAGAACGTGACAATTCCTTTTTCGTGTTGTCTAATTCTTCAAATATTCTCAATTGTGTACCTTCCGTGCGAAAACTGCAACTACCATCAACCTATTGCTTATACACATCTCGAAATATATTTGACAAGACAACCTAGACGAATAGCAAACTGAAAGTCTCCTGCATTTTGTCGGATAATCTCTTAATGGCAAACACGTAGTTTTCACCTGCGTCACAAGGGTGGCCCGTTTACACGCGATTGGTGCAGCATGTGCTTGTGCACGGAGTATTCATAATTGAAACAACTCACACTCACACGAGCGTGAAGTCCAGACTTGCGGGGACGCGTGTAGGATGTCGGCTGTCTGTGTTCTGTGCTCGCGCTACCGTGCCTTGAACAAAGTGCTTTCTTCGAGGAAGTCAGCCAGTCATTAAATACGCAGCAACCAATTGAAGAGATGAAAGAGCGAGCAACTGGTACCGCGAGCCTCGGAAGAAAACGAAATCTGGTTTTGAAAGCCTTTTGCTTTATTATGCATGTTGTTCATTTCCTTCTGCTGGCGTCAATCTGACGTGTCAGTCATGACGTGGTGTCTGTTTGAATATCTTGAACAAGAAAGAAAAATAATATCCTGGATTGATCAGACCTTTTGTGAGCATACAGTATTTCTTTTGCGTTCTGCATCAACCGTCACTTAACTCGTCTGCTTTCCCGTTCACGGGCTGCAATCACACTCCCATCAGCCACCCACATGTTGTAAATTGTATGCGTAATTATGGACTAGAGTAAGTGGGGCTGTCTCACCTGAGCCGAACACTGAGGAAATGTAGATTTAATCTCCACTGTAATTTGCTCATCCGCCGCGACTCTGCTGTGAAGTGGTAGAGAAGCGATGCTTTGGCACGGCACATACTCGATCCTGCTGCAAACGAAGGCAATGTTGGCAAGATGTACCCTTTTTGAGTAGTCACGCGCTTGATTGATTGAAGTCGATTGACTGTCGGGGCCAGCAAAGTGTCCTCTGCTAGACTAAATGCAATCAGAACAA